TTTTATGCCCGTCTAGACTTGTTTCAACATCAATTAAATGCTCATCAGAATAAGAAATAAAAACCGAAGGTTCATCCATATAAAAAAGGGCAAGACCGCCGCTTCGACCTCTCGGTTCAACGGTACAAAAATGGTCATACCCAAAATACATTTGTATATCTTGCATAAATATCCGATTGTTCTTGGTTTCTGATAAAAATAAAAAAACGAGGAAAAAAACATTTATGAAGCTCTTCTAGGTGATCTTTCGTCAGGTCGGCTCCCGCGCCCTAACAATTCCATCCGATCACATTCATTTGGGCTGATTTGCTGGTTTATGGGCTCCTCCCAAACCAGAAAATGATGATGATGGGCCTTTTGATTTAGGGCCCTTAGGATGTTTGTCTCCCTTGGACTTCTCATAGTTTGCTTCATTTGGGCTTGGTCCTGGCCCAGATGTCTTTCCTTTGTTCTTGGATTTGGAGATGAACGGCCCATAACGAGACTTCTCTTCTTCAGCGATACACCTAAGTTCACCGGCGATTTTGGAACCCGATGCTTCTTCCCACCATTCCGACTGAGCTTTCCAGCAGCGATTTCAGCACCTAGACTATCTTCTGCCTTCGGGGGGCTTCTCCACCAGGAAGCATTCTGCGTAATCGGCTCCTCTTCAGTTTGAATACCCGGTTCAGACACCATCTCATCCTGAACCGCTTGCCCCAGATCCTCTCCAAGCAAATCATCATGTGGGTTCTATTGGCTTCATACGGGCTTCTACAATATTCCTAATGGGCCTGAGGTCCAAGTCTAGTTCAGTTGCAGCTGGGCCGGATTCTGTTATAGCCTAAAACAGAGAAGATAGAATCTGCAAGCAAGAGGATAAAAGTTTGTTACAGTGATAAGGAGATCGTCTTCTCCAACAAGAAAGAGAAGAAGCACGAAACAGAAAGATTATCGAGAATACGAGAGAGAGAGAGAAGCTTACAGAGGTTTAAGGAAGAAGATCGATTCCGCATCGAAGGTCGTCTTCACTCCTTCGCTTCTCTTGTGGATCCTCTAAGTGTGTATTTCTCATAATCGTAGAAGTAACTCAATCCTGTAACGAGAGACGTTCTGTATCAAAGTCTTGTAAAGTCGATCGATAGTGGATGCAGTTGAGGGACCGAGTTTCCCTCCCCTGAGACGTAGCCTTTCGGTGAACTCAGGGTGACCAAATCTTGTGTTACTTGTTCGTTAAGTTCTTTAGATTCACCACAAGAAGATAGTCGAATCTAGCGAATAATCCCTACAAGTGGTATCAGAGCTTCCAGGTTGTAAAAGCTAGGTTTAGAGTACTGGTGAATAAGAAGAAAGAAAGAACTTATCTCGATCTGATTCTAGGAGTAGGTCTTCTGTGAGATCTGTTTGAATCAGAGTCTTCTTCGGTTAATTGCTAGATAGTATCTCAGATCATCTCCCCGATTGCTACCTGGAGATATAGAATTGATTAGCAATTATGGAACCGACTCATGGCAAATTCGAGATGGATAAATTCGATGGTAAAGGGGATTTTGGTATGTGGAAATACAAGATGCTGGGACAGCTAGATATCCAAGGCTTACTGTCAGTGTTGGAAGAGAACTTTACCATCTATGCAGATCCTGAAGAGAACCCCTTCGGTGATGGCAAAAAGGAAGAGTCATCAGAGAAAAAGATAGATGATAAGAAAGCTGCGAAGGATCTCTGAGTAAGAAGCCTTCTGGGGACATGTCTGAGTGACCAGATTCTTCGGAAGATCATGCAAGAGACAACAGCACTGGGACAGTGGAAAGCTCTAGAGAGAATCTACCAGACTAAATCACTTCTGAACAGAATTTATCTAAAGAAGCAATTTGCCTGCTACAAAATGGAGGACAGCAAGTCAATTGAAGAGAATGTAGACAACTTCCTAAAGTTAGTTCAAGATCTTAACAGTTTGAAGATTACCATCTCAGAGGAAGACCAGGCAATCCAACTTCTATCAGGTCTCCCATCTGCCTATGAACCTCTCACACTCTACAATACGGAAGTGGCAAGGAGACCCTCACGGTTGAAGAAGTGGTTGTAGCTGCTTACTCAAAGGAAGCTGAGTTAAAGCAGAAGGGGTTACTGAATAAAGGAAAGTCATCCTCCGAAGGTCTATATGTTGAATCACGAGGTAGACCAGACAAGAGACTTGAAAATGGAAACGGATCAAAAAGGTCAAAAAGATCTAAGAGTAAAGACTCAAGATCCAAATCCAAGACACGAACTAACAAGGAAGGAAAGTCAGAGTGTTTTATCTATGGAAAGGACGGTCATTGGAAAAGAGAATGTCCAAATAGAGGGAAGCAGAAAGGAAATGAATCATCTGCGAATGTCACCTCGGAGGCAAAACAACCCCTCGTCCTCACGGCCAGCATCCAACACTCAAAGAACGAGTGGGTCCTTGACTCTGGCTGCACTTTCCACATTACACCTGAAAAGGATCTTCTCTTCGACTTCAAGGAAATCAATGGAGGGAAGGTTCTAATGGCAAACAACACGCACAGTGAGGTCAAAGGTGTTGGGAAGATAATAATAACAAATCAAGATGGAACAGAGGTTATTCTAACTGATGTGCGATACATGCCTGAAATGAGTAGAAACCTTATATCCTATGGAATGTTGGAAAAAACAGGATGCAAGTACAAAGGAGAGGGTTTCAAAGTTACCTTTTACAAGGATGACAAAGAGGTAATTTCAGGGAAGTATCATGAAGGTCTGTATTACCTTCAAGGGACGGTTAGTAAGGCTGAAGCGAACATGGCCAGACAGACAAAAGAAATGACCTCCTTGTGGCACTCAAGACTAGGTCATATAAGCTCCAAAAACATGGGAGTTCTAGTCCGAGAGGGGTATCTGCCAAGAGAAGACATTGATGAGTTAGGATTTTGTGAGAGCTGTGTTCTTGGAAAATCTCACAAACAAAGTTTTCCAGAAGCCAAACATACAACAAAGGGCATCTTGGAATATGTTCATTCCGACTTGTGGGGATTTCCATCAACACCTGAAAGTTTGGGAGGAAGTAAATACTTCATAAGCTTCATTGACGACTACTCTAAAAAGGTATGGGTTTACTTCCTAAGAACAAAGGATGAAGCATTCTACAAGTTTAAGGAATGGAAGGAGGCAGTAGAGAGCCATACCGAGAAAAAGATAAAGTGTCTTCGCACTGACAATGGGTTAGAGTTCTGTAACACCCAGTTTGATGAATTGTGCAAGAAATCTGGAATAAAACATCACAGAACATGCACGTATACCCCACAGCAGAACGGAGTATCCGAGAGAATGAATCGGACGATCATGGACAGAGTCAGGAGCATGCTTGCAGAAACTGGTTTAGGTCAAGAGTTCTGGGCTGAGGCTACGTCAACAGCAGTATATCTGATTAATAGAACCCCAAGTTCCTCTATTGGTTACAAACTTCCAGAAGAAAAGTGGTCTGGACACAAGCCAGAGTTGTCACATCTCAAGAGGTTTGGATGCTCAGCCTACGTTCATACCACACAAGAAAAGACCGGTCCCAGAGCAGAAAAAGGGGTATTTCTGGGATATCCATTTGGCGTCAAAGGATATCGGGTTTGGATGCCAAAAGATGGAAAATGTACTACTAGCAGGAATGTGGTATTTAGGGAAGATGAGATATACAAGGACACACTGAAACAAACCCAGCGAAGTCCAAAAGAGCTTAATGATCAACAGAGTAAGGAGAAATCTACTAAGAGAGTAAAGTTCCACACTCAACTCATACAAGGCCCCTGTTACGAGCATGGTGAAACATCCTCTCAAGGTGGAGAGTCTAATCTAGAACATGAATCAGAAAGTTTAGAGGACTCGATTGAAACTGGTAATTCAGAAAGTGGGGATGAGTCAGAAGGATTATCTTTTTCCGAGGAAGGCGAGACTGACAATAGTCAACCATTGGAGGGTTATCTTCTTGCACGTGACAGAAGTAAGAGACAGAATATTAGGCCTCCCTCCAGATTCGAAGACTCAGATTTTGTGGCATATGCTCTATCTGTTGCCGAAGATATAGAGACTGATGAACCGAGATCTTTTGAGGAAGCAAAAAGGAGTAAAAAGTGGAAACACTGGAATAATGCTGCTAAAGAGGAAATGGATTCACTTGAGAAGAATCACACCTGGGATTTGATTGATAAGCCTGATAAACAGAAGCTGGTTGGGTGCAAGTGGATTTTCAAACTTAAGCCAGGAATTCCAGGCGTGGAAAAACAGAGATATAAGGCAAGGCTTGTGGCAAAGGGGTTTTCACAAAAGGAGGGAGTGGATTTTAATGAAATTTTCTCACCTGTTGTGAAACATGTGTCCATCAGAATAATGTTGTCTTTGGTGGTGAATTTAGACTATGAACTGGAGCAGCTTGATGTCAAAACAGCTTTTCTCCATGGAAATTTGGATGAGAGGATATTGATGAGTCAGCCAGAAGGATTCATTAAGAAGGGAGAAGAAAATAAGGTGTGTCTTCTGAGGAAATACCTATATGGATTGAAACAGTCACCTAGACAATGGAATCTAAAATTTGACAGTTTCATGAAGGGGGAAAGTTTTTTAAGAAGCAGCTTCGATCCTTGTGTTTATATGAAAAACATAAAGACAGATAAAGCCATCTATCTTCTTCTATATGTTGACGACATGCTTATAGCTTCAGGGAATAAATCAGAGATTATAAATATCAAGGACAGCTTAAGCAGGGAATTTGAGATGAAAGACTTGGGGAAAGCATCAAGGATTCTGGGTATGGACATTCAAAGGGATAGACAGAAGGGATTATTAATTCTATCGCAAGAGAACTACATTGAGAAGGTCTTGAAGAGTTTTGGAATGGAGGAATCAAAGTCAGTGTCTACTCCTATAGCATCACATTTCAAGCTAAAAAGCTTGACCAAGACAGAATTGAAGGTAGAGGCTGAGCATATGGAAAGGATTCCCTATACAAGTGCAGTGGAAGCCTTATGTACGCCATGATTGGTTCAAGACCAGATTTAGCTTATGCTGTGGGTGTTCTTAGCAGGTTCATGTCAAAACCAGGCCAAGAGCACTGGGCAGATGTTAAGTGGGTTTTGATATATTTGAGGGGTGCATCAAAGGTTAATCTCACGTTTGTTAAAGGTTCAAGTTTCAGTGTTGAAGGGTACTGTGATTCTGACTATGCTACAGATTTGGATAGAAGGAGATCAGTGACAGGTTATGTTTTCAAAGTTTGGGGAAATACAGTTTGTTGGAGATCAAATTTACAGTCTGTGGTGGCCCTTTCAACAACTGAAGCTGAGTACATGGCTCTTTCTTCAGCCGTGAAAGAGGCCATTTGGTTAAAAGGCATTTGCGATGAATTGGGTTTTTCACAAGGGAGTGTTAAAATCCATTGTGATTCACAGAGTGCATTGGCGCTTGCAAAGAACTCTGTGTATCACGAACGGACGAAGCATGTCGCTACTAAGTACCATCATATAAGGGATATTGTTGCACAAGGTGATGTTACACTATTCAAGATTCATACAAGTAGGAATCCAGCAGATTTTCTAACTAAAGCCTTACCTGGGCCTAAGTTTGAGCTCTGCTGTGATCTCTTAAACATCGTTTAGTCGCTAGACGGCTCCAGGTAACTCCATTGTCGATTAGTCTCTCGCACAAGGTAGAAACAAGTCAGTTTGGTTTTGGTTGTTTCTCTTTGGATAATCGATAATGTCTGTGAATTGGTGAGGAAGAGTTACCTGTGGAGCTTAGGGAGCTGGGATTGAGAATTTTTCAGTTCCAGGTGGAGCATCTGAGTAGAGGTTTTTTGAGAAAGGTCAGAAAGGGATCTGGTTTCTCTTAAATTCCTTGTGATTCAGAAGAAAGTTGCGAGAGAAAAGGTAAATCTGGGTTGCATGTAATACCTGGATTCGATTCTTAAACGGATGAACAAGTGTTGTTCGTCGACGGTGCTGAGACTGTGGAGAGTTGAAGCTCGTCTGGTTAGGTCTTTGAGGAAGAAGAGGCTTAACAGGAGATAGATGCGATGGTGCTCGGATAAAGTCACATCGGAGTTCACTATCGAGAGAAATGAGGCAGGATTAGGGTTCGGCGTGTTTGACGGTGGTGTCTGAAGTCAAAGGTGGAGTTTGTGGGTTCTATTGGCTTCATACGGGCTTCTACAATATTCCTAATGGGCCTGAGGTCCAAGTCTAGTTCAGTTGCAGCTGGGCCGGATTCTGTTATAGCCTAAAACGGAGAAGATAGAATCTGCAAGCAAGAGGATAAAAGTTTGTTACAGTGATAGGGAGATCGTCTTCTCCAACAAGAAAGAGAAGAATCACGAAACAGAAAGATTATCGTGAATACGAGAGAGAGAGAAGCTTACAGAGGTTTAAGGAAGAAGATCGATTCCGCATCGAAGGCCGTCTTCACTCCTTCGCTTCTCTTGTGGATCCTCTAAGTGTGTATTTCTCATAATCGTAGAAGTAACTCGATCCTGTAACGAGAGACGTTCTGTATCAAAGTCTTGTAAAGTCGATCGATAGTAGATGCAGTTGAGGGACCGAGTTTCCCTCCCCTGAGACGTAGCCTTTCGGTGAACTCAGGGTGACCAAATCTTGTGTTACTTGTTCGTTAAGTTCTTTAGATTCACCATAAGAAGATAGTCGAATCTAGCGAATAATCCCTACACATCCCCCTTCAGTAGTTCATCAAACTCTCTTTCATCGTACAAGTCAGTATCATCCAGCCACTCATCTTCATCTCCAATTCCTTCTACAGTATCGGATGGAACCAGAAAATCAGGGTCTCCTTGAGACTCATCTTCCATAAGCACATCCTCAGCGAGCTTGAGGTTTCTCTGAAAATCCGAATCAGCGTCTTCAATAGCTACAGAAGGAGCCCCAATCGCAGCAGGGAGAAGGAGGTCTTCCTCCATTGGATCAGCTACATCAGCCTCTTCTTCTTCTAAGGTTTGTTCATACCAGCTTTTGGTAGACAGAGGCTGAGCTGGGATAAGGTTAACGATTTGGCTCGGGGTTTGATCCAAAGAGGGGTGGGAAACAGCTTCAGGTGGAATAATTGTATCGAAAGATAGAGACTATTTTGCAGAGCTTCCCGCTTCCGAAGATTCCCCCAATATCGTCGCACTTTCCAGCATTCAGGCCCGACATTTTGCTAAGCAAGTTAAGGCGAAAAGGTCTGCTTCGAAGGTGTTCAGGGGAGACGTTTCCTTGAAAGTCTGCTTCTTGAGATTATATCTAAAACAGTAAAATGTCACATATTAGACGTTTTGACGCAGTTGAAGGTTATCAAACCTGAATATACTTATTTTGTAGGTTATGCCTTACAAATATAGTTCTCTTTCTATTTCTTCTGTGGCGATTGTAAAATTTAAAACATGAATATACTCATGTTTCTTAATTTTTTGAATTTAAATTGGTGTTTTTTATTTATATGTATGATATATAAATCATGTAATCGTCTTTTTTTTTTGCGGAATGTAATCGTCTATACACTTACTTTTAAACCATATCTATGGTCCGGTCTAATCGCACTAAGAAAAAATTTTGGGTTTGGAGTTGCTTTTATAATATATCAAAATTTGCCAACAATACTGCCGCCAAATTGAGTAAACGAATGCTAGTAGTACATCTGACTTTTCCAATTTGTTTTCTTTTAATTTGGTGTAATTAACTTATTAAAAATAGGAATAAAATTATAAATATATAAGAGCCCCAAATTACAAGCAAAGACGAATGACTTGTCGACATGAAAGACAACAGGTCAAAAATAGGTAAGACTTGGATAAATGATAGCCATTTATAAGCTTTTGTGTGCGTGTGTGTATTTAGTATTATATGGTGTGGAGATTAAATGTACAATATATTTTAAAAAATTCACACGTATATAATTTTATGTCGCTATATTTAGGACTTCAATAGTTTTCTCGGGATATTCTCTGATGTTCTGATCAGTTAAAAAAAACTCTTTAGGGGAGGAAAGAGAGTGGAGACATAAACACATGGTTTCATAGCTCGAGCAATTACCATAAATGCTCGATCAAGTCTTAACAATAGTCATAGAGTACCATGGACTTTCTCAAGACACATCGACCATAAAACATTTATGGAATCTTTATAAATATAATTAAAAAATATCTTCCTATATATTCTTGTTGGAATTTTGCAGGCCCGTTTTATTTATAGTTCCTAATATGAAAAATGAATAGGGATGTTTTCTGCACTTAATTCTGTTTGTTTGAACGGCATGTCACGTACAAGTAAATGCACCATATAAATTATTATCTTTACTTTGACGGTTAGATATTTGAACATATATGGCTACATATTAATGTGAAAAAAAAGATATGGCTACCTAATACCGAAATTGCAATTAATGCGTGATGTAATGTATTTTTTCTTAACATAATCTTAAACACATTAACGTGAAAGATCAAACGCTAAATCTACGTTTTATCACAGATTATACTGCTCTCTACATAAATCTCAAATGTATTCTCTTGAAAACGCACATGTCGATGGTATGTATCAACCCTAAAAATTATTTAATAATTTCTCTAACAGTATATGCCTCCTTTAATAATTTGCTTCCATGTACAGAAGATTGGACAGTGACACATGAAATTTTATATCTATATATAGAGGGTAAGCGTTTTCCTCATATGATAAATTAAGAATCGCAGAAAGGAACACTTCTCAAATATCATTTTCTTAACCATAGCTTTAAAATTACATGGCTTCTCAACCTCCCTTTGAGACAAATTTCTCTTCGATTTTTGGAAGCTCATCTCCAAGATCAACTAGTGATAGCAATATGGTCACACCAACAGTCCAAACCGCACGCATAAAGCTTCCGTTGATCGATCTCAGCCATCTAACTAATGGCGATGAGGTCAAGCGCAAAAGATGTGTCAAACAAATGGTTGAGGCAGCAATAGAGTGGGGATTCTTTCAAATTGTGAACCATGGGATTCCCAAAGAAGTCTTTGATATGATGTTTCTCGAAGAAAAGAAGCTCTTTGACCGTTCTTTTTCTGAGAAAGTTCGAGAAAATTTCTTGGACTTCTCGACTAATTGTTACCGGTGGGGAAACCCTAACGCCACTTCCCCGGCTCAGTACTCCTTGTCCGAAGCGTTTCACATCACTCTTGGAGAGATCTCAAGTTTTCCTGATGATGGCAACAACCTCAGGTTTCATACTTATAAGTTTTGTATTTTGTTTGATTTGAGATCTGTCATACGACAAAACCCTAATTCTTGAATTGTCTTTACTTTTAGTGAATATAAATTATTGACTTTTAAATAGTGATTTCATTTCAGGGGAAAATTTCTTAGCAAGTCATAATCGCTCGTTTTCCCTTCAGTTTCAAGAATCCCTACTTTAACCATTTTATGAAATTGTTATGAGTATATGGAAATATTTAAATTTGTGGTGCTTTGGGATATGAAGGTTCACAGTCACAAGCGTGTATCTAGTGGTATTTATATATTGCAACACTCATAACCCTTTTATTTTTAAGGAAAAAAATGATATATTTATATAGAGAGATCTGTCTGTTGTTAAAGATACACATAAATACAGCATTATTATACTTACATAGACGAAGAGACATTAGAATTATTGATTTTTCGTTTTTATTTTTTTGTAGAACAACCGTTGGAATGTATGTGCAGGAGATAGCTCGAGTGGCGCAAATGATATGTGAAATATTGGCGAAGCAAGTGAACGTGAACCCGAAGTATTTCAAAAATATTTGTGAGCTAAAAAACAGTTTTCTAAGGCTTAACAAGTATCATCCTCGTATTTTTGGTTCGGAAGTGTTTGGTTTGGTTCCTCATACCGATACAAGTTTCATCACTATACTCTCTCAAGATCAAATAGGAGGTTTAGAATTGTTCAAAAATGGACAATGGATTGGCGTAAAACCTTGCTCTGAGGCTCTTACTGTGAACATCGGTGATATGTTTCAGGTAACTTCAATCATTTAATTTGATTTTCAATGTTCGAGTATACTCCTTTATGGTTAAATGCTGTCTCAATTAAAAGTAACTTCACTAAGTTTGGAACTTGTATATTATACTACCGCAAGCCAATGACTTGGACTACAACTCTACAAGTACACCCTCTAATTTAACGCAAGTTATCTGGTTTAATTAGTAGAATACATGATTATAAAATGTTACGAGCGACATGCAAGGAAATTCAAAGAATGATAAGAAGAAAAAGAGAGTTTGTGTACTTTCAAAAAAAAAAAAAAAAGAGAGTTTGTGTTTTCAATTTTTCTGTTATCGCATATCATAAAAGTTTATGTTATTCATATATATGTTTTTTTCCTTCTAGTACTAATGCACCTTGGCCTTAACTAATTGCAAGCACATCCAAAAATGAATATTACTACTAAGTTATGATGATAAATATGTTTTTTAACTAAACAATATAATTAGATAATATGCAAAAACTTCAGGAGAAACCCTAATTCTTTTACAGACAATTAGAGCCACGGTTTTGGAGTTGTGGACATAAAATTATACGTAAGATTCTAGTCCCTAAAACTTATAAGATAAGTGCTACTGATTCCTATAAGCTATTATAGATCGATATTGCTATTCGCTTTGCTATGTTCTTTTCTTTCAATTAGGTGATTAATTTTCTTAAAATCTAAGGATCTATATATATGATACAGGCACTAAGTAATGGAGTGTACCAGAGCGTGAGACATAGAGTGATTTCTCCGGTAAACATTGAGAGATTGTCTCTAGCTTTCTTCGTATGTCCATATCTTGAAACCAAGATCGAATGTTTCGCGAATCCAAAGAAGTATAGAAGTTTCAGTTTCAGAGAGTACAAAGAGCAGAGTGAACGTGATGTTAAAGAAACTGGTGATAAGGTAGGCTTGTCTAGGTTTCTCATTTGATCCATCTCTTTGACCTTTAATAGTGAGGTTAAGAAACTAATTAATGTTGTCGTTTTGTTGTTTAACATCTATGCTTAACGCAAGGTCTAGTAATATAAAGATGTAAGAACAATAATGTTTTACATTAATATATATCATAGTTAAATTACACATTTTCTCTACGAGTTTATGATTAATTGTGAAAACTGATGAGAATAATTATTAATACTAGTGCGTAATTAACTAACTAACCTAGGCGTAGGTAGCTATTGTGGTTAGGACTTTGCCGTCCAAAAAGAGATTGTACTCTGCTTCAAGGAGATTGACGTAAGCCAATCATAAATAGGAATTTAAGAAAAACAAATAGTGAAATGAACCCTCATCATTTCGTTCAATCGCTTTAACAAAAAAAGGAATCATTTTGTCATTTTGCACATGCCCAATAAAAAATGTTCATTTGGGGACATCCGATAAAAAGAAAAGACAAAATAAAAATAGTACACCTTTTTTTTGTCGTCATAAAAATAGTACACAAATTCTCAAACTGTGTTTTTCCTCTTTTTTTTTTTTTTTCCATTCTAGTGATTGGATAATTCACTTCAAAGTTTTTTTTTGTTATTTTACTTTTGTTATCTACCAATCAGAGCCTTGATTAGTCGGAAGCATTTTTTTTCCACAAATTAAAAGAGGTTGGGCCTCACATCAATACATGACCCATAAGTTTAATTTATAATGGGCCAATAAAATACTCTACCGGCCTTTTTAATTTTCAGACCAATCAAATACAAGATTATACGGTTCTAAAAAAACCGGACCGGTCTGTGTGATTTCCTTATTCAAACAAGCCGTACAAGTTCATATCTGAATGTTGGCACAGAGTCATCGAAAGAGGGAAACGAGCAAACGGAGCTATTTTCTCGGCGTCGATCAATAGATTTTGTGGAAGATCATACCTGGTTTTCTTCTAGGTTATTATTAGGGTTTACGAGTATTTCGATTTATATACATCAGACTCATCGTTGATCTGTATGCCCCTTTAGTTTCGCAGATTTTCCATTTCGGGTGATTTTGGGTCGATCATACAAATTACAAGCCATGGACAAGTCGAATGGTTTAGATTTTATCTACCAGATGTTTCCAGCAGGTGATTATGGCTAGATTTGTTCGTAATAAATCCAAATTCTGGGGTTTTGTTGATTTCGTGATTTAACTATTTCACATGATTGTTTTACTTTTACAGAAGCAACTCTTCTTGACGTTGAGCCACTTATGCATAACATTCACAATGAGATTCGGCGGATTGATGCTACCATACTTGCTTCTGTTCGTCAACAGGTGAAATCTTTGTTTTATTTATTTTTTGCTCTTATGTGAAGATTACTCTTGAAGCTTTAGATTTGTTCTTATTTTACAAAAGTTTGTGATTCTTCATTTTTACTCGGTTCCTTGTATTTGTACTTAACATTGCATGGACCGTTTTGTGAGTAGTATATATTACTCGTTCTGGATTCCTTGTGGATACTTGTTTTGAAAATTATATAGCAAAAAAATTATTTTTTTTTGCTTCTTTGTTAAAAGATTGATATGTGTTTGGAACTTATTCTTGGTTTGGCAATGATTACACCTCAGAGTAACTCTTGAACTAGTATTGTCAAGATATCATTTTCTTTCTTTTGTTTCTCTTATCATTCTATCTTTTCGCTCAGTTTGTAACGGTTTCGGTTTTTGTATTCGTTTTAACACAGGAACTCGATCTCTTATAAGATACAAGAGATAAAGAGAGTTCAAGACATATGCCGTGACATTAAGAAGTTAGATTTTGCAAAGAAGAACATAACCACGGCGGTCCGGTCACTGCCCTTCATCGCCTCACAATGGTTCACAATGGTTGGTAAATTATCAATAATTACTCTGTTTGATTAGTTCACCATTAGGTATCCTGAAATTAGAATGATAGCCAAGAGTATTTACAGGATTACTAAGTAAGCCCTATATAAAAGGGGTTCAAGGTAGGCAACATCAAACAAGTAACATGATGTTGCTGGTTAACCTGTTAGTGAATCTATTTTATTCCTTATGTAGTAACCAAATGTATGCCCACAACGTAGTTAGCGTTGACTAAGTACATCATTCATGCTTATTAATGACAGTAGCTGCAATGTTTTGGCAGTCTCTGCGGATGAACAGCTTCAGGTGATGGCGTCAAAAAGGCAATACAAGGAGGCAGCTGCACAACTAGAGGTACAGTACCTTATTTTCAATTCAACAATCTTTGGCATTTGTTGGTTCAGTTTGAATTGGTCTTTTTCTTTAGCTTTATGTTCATCATGGGAGCTCAATGCAGTTCTTTGTCATTTTTAAAATAAATTTTAACGCTAGGTTACATACGTGAACTTTCACGAGTACACAGAACTTTTACGGTAACTACTGTTGAAATCTTGTTCTCTATTGTCGCTGCAGGGTCTTACGAAAGCAGAGCAGGACAATATACTTGATGTCTTTAAAAATCATGGACCAATATCCACGCAGCTCTCAGTTGCAGCGGCAATGCCACAACCACCTGCACCGCCACTGGCGATAACTAATCCGGCTGCACTGCACCCTTTGGTTTGATAGCAAACAGCGAGGATGTGTTAACCAGAAGGAGCTGTTCTTGGCAGAAGAGCTGCAACCACTAGCTTTAGGAAGTTCTTTGCTCTCACTGAAGCTGCTAAAGATCGTCCCTTCTTCAATGCATGATTTGTTCCTACTCTTTTGTGTGTTTTTTTTAAAAAAAATTTATATGAGCTCATTTCAAAGCAATCGAATTAAAGAGTATATATTTATATGATGAAAATGTTAAAAATATACTTATGGTCCTGTAATTCTTCTTAGAACGGAGCAAAAGAAAAACACCTTTATCTTTCAAACTTGCGGATCATTATGTGCAGTTTAGAGGGTTTAGACTAGAGACTTCAAATCTCTGTAACTCTTCTCTACGAACGTTTTAGAACGAACAAACAAAATCCCAAAAAACATCGGAAATGGACAACGAACCAGAACCGACTTAAGGGCTTTGCATATTTAGCAGAACATATTTAAAACTCAATTCTAAACTAAAAAGAAAAAGCAAAAAAAAAAAAGAGGTAATTTAGATTACCTCATATCGCTAACCGACAGAGAGCATGATTCTCTGGTTTAGCACAAACCCGACCACAGACCTTCGCTTCAGGGAAGATTCTGGGGACAGCAGAGGATGTTTGATCAGAACTCCTCTAAGTCATATTCTCGTGTGCCCGCGAGACGATCTCACGTCATCATCGAGAAGGGAGAAGTTTATAAACTTCTCTCGGGGTACCAATCTTTTGCTCGAACCCTGGTGCGACTCACTCTTCATGCCGAGTCACTACCACTTTTACCGGGTTCGAATTGGTGATAAACCTTCTGATTTAATTTTACTTAAACAGGTGTAGGTTGATAACCGGGTTCTCAATCAAAAAACGGTTCACTAAATAGTTCCAGCAAACCAGAACCGACTTAAGGGCTTTGCATATAGATATAGCTTCTCTTTTGATGATATTGGGCTTCGACCGATCAAATATGGACCTAATTAAGATATTGGTTAGCTTGGTTCCCAAGCCTAGTATGACCTAGATATTTCGTGTATAGATAACACTGTGTTAGTTGGGTCCAAGCCAGGAGATCCCTCAACATCCATAATGAGGGAGGAACGGGAAAATATTTGGGTCTCCCGGAAAACTTCGGCAGAAGAAAGAAAGACATCTTTGCAGGGCTTGTGGACCGTATTCGCCAGAGATCGCATAGTTGGGCTTCACGTTTTCTATCTGCAGCAGGAAAACAGGTGCTTCTAAAGTCAGTCCTAGCGGCAATGCCGTCATACACTACGTCATGTTTTAAACTCCCGATTTCTCTATGTAAGCAGATCCAATCCGTCCTCACAAGATTCTGGTGGGACGACAAAGCAGACATCAGAAAAATGTGTTGGGTCTCATGGGCTAGACTCACGGCTCCCAAAAACGCGGGAGAATTTGGGTTTCGAGATATCGAAAACTTCAACGACTCCATGCTCACAAAACTGGGAGCGCGACTCATCTCCCATCCCCAAGCGCTGTTCTCTCGAGTACTCCTTGGCAAATACTGCGTCCATAGCTCTTTTTTGGATTGCAAACTTACCTCTAATCCCTCTCATGGGTGGAGAGGCATTATGGCAGGCAGAGATATTCTTCGAAAAGGACTAGGATGGCTTATAGGCAATGGTGAGTCTATTAATGTCTGGACAGATCCCTGGCTTAGCCTGGAGGCTCCTCTTAGACCTTATGGACCACCGCCACTTGCCCAAATCAACCTTCATGTCTCTGACTTACTGGACCCGGAACATAACTCATGGCATTGGGATAGAATTCGCGAAACTATTCCTGAATGCGAGGCCCTTATCCGACTCTTGCCAATCGGATCATCTCGCCCAGTCGACAGATTAGTTTGGCTCCCCCAGAAGAATGGAAAGTACTCTGTCCGTTCAGGCTATGGCCTCACAATGACAGAAACAATTCCGGAAAGACATAGAAACTTCAATTGGCAAAAGAACATTTGGAGACTTCGCACAGCACCGAAGATCAAGCAAGTTCCTCTGGAGATCTGCAGTGGAGGCACTCCCGGTGAGTGTCCAATTAGTCCGACGTGGAATTCAAGTTGACGCAAATTGCAAGCTATGCGGAAACCCCGAGACGATACCTCATGTTCTCCGAGACTGCAGTTTTGCACGAGAGGTTTGGGACCTCACACCGCTTAGGAGCCATCCATATTTAAATACAATCCAAACGCTCGATTTCCTCTCTACCATTCCATCGCTGCTAAGTCTACCTCCAACGGGTACGTCAACTTCGTCGTTACCGGCTTGGATTTGTTGGAACTTGTGGACAGCTCGGAATCAACGTATCTTCTCGGACACGAATTATTCGGCTAGAGAAGTGGTTAACAAAGCCATTGTTGAAGCGAAAACCTGGCAAGAAGCACAGTCAGCCTTACGAAAACCTCAACCTGCACGCGCTATAACGTCCCCCCGTCTCAAGCTTTTCGAATCGACCGTAACGTCGACGCTGCCTGGCATGTGGATTCAGGTAACTGCGGAATGGGGGTTGTTTTCAAGGTTAAAGGTGAAGACAGGAAGCTGTGTTTCTCGAGCTCCCGACAGTCTGTATCCTCAGCGTTAGTAGCAGAGGCCTGGGCAATCAAAGAAGCCTTACTCCTCGCCATTGATAATGGATTTGAAGAGATCCAATTTTTCTCAGATTCCCAGTCTCTGGTTTCAGTACTCAACTCATACGAAACGCACACAGAGATACACTATTGTTCACGATATACGTCAGCTGACATTATCTTTCTCTTTGATTTCTTTCTGTTTTGTTCCTCGTATGTTTAACAACGAGGCGGACTCCATCGCTAAAGAAGCTCTCAGAGCTCTTATGTATCTAGTTTGAGTTTTAATAAAATTACAGTTCGACCAAAAAAAAAAAAAGATAACACTGTGTTATACTCCTTTTGATTCAAAATATAAATCATTGCAGTTTTTTTTTTCATAAAAAACCGTTTAATTTTCAATTTTATCCTTAATTAATTTATTATTTATTATGTTCTAATTAATCAACTAATTAAATGAATAGGGATAAAAGTAAATTTTTTTTAAAAAAATATTTGTATTGAAATTCGAGAATAACTTATATTTTGAAACGAAAAAATTGATGTTAAAACAACTTATATTTTGAAACGGAGGGAACATAGTTTATTTTAATTTGACAAAGTCGAATGTGCTAAACCAGCGGAAGCATCTGTCTCCTCTTCATACTTCCAAAGTATCTCATGCATTTTTCTTCTTCTTTTTTCCGCCCTCGTCTCTATCATGTACAGGTAAATATAAAAATCCTATTTCAGCTATAATAAAGTACATCAAAGCATAAACTCTAAAATACACGATAACGTCCGCAGCAAAAAAGTCACGTATCAACAAAAGACATTGCTATATGTTCAAAAATAAATATAAACGAAAGCATTTAACAAAACTCATACCAAGATTAGGAATAACAATTCCTTCGTTTTATTTTGGTACGGTTTCTTCAGTTTATGATATGAAATAAATATTATTGCCAAACTCACAGCCTTACAACATATAAAATTTAAAATATTAAAATAGAACTACCTGAATTAACAAGAATACCAACAATATCATTGGGTTTGAAATCTTCATAAACGTTTTGAATGTCATGGACATTTTCAGGTCTTCATCATTTAGCACAACCAAGTTACTAATTATCAACATATCCAACCATAAATAAGACAATCTCGATAACTCAGACAATCAGACAACCATTAAACATAATTATAAACATATTCACCATATTGCTCTGAACTAGAAATACACAAAGACACTACTTGGATTGACACGAATATCAGCAACATCGAGATATTTTTCACAGCTCTTTAAACATGTAACAAAATCCACATACAAATCTCTCTTGCACGTATAGCTCTTGAATAATTCAACATGTTAAATTGAATGAAGACCTTTTAACCAAAAAAAAAATCAGCAACATCATTGGGTTCGAGGTTTTCATGAACGCTTGAATGTCATGGACGTCTTCAGCTTCTTCATCATTAGGCAGAACTGATATAACAAATCCAATTATATTAGATAATCATGCAACCATTAATCACATAGACGTCTTCTTTATCTTTAAGAACCACTAATATTTAGATAGAATGTTATATCTACCTGGATTGACAACATCATTAACTTTTTCATGAATTTTTTGTCAAATTTGAGTTTCCAAGTTCATCTTTGTTCCAGCCAACCAAGCAAGGTGGTCAGATATTGTGCACTCATTCACTGTCATCATAGAAACTGATTTTTGTCTAAGAACGAGAAATAATTTTGTAATCATATGTGGTATATAAAGTGTAAACATTATATTTCAGAAATTATATATATAATAAGCATTCAAGGTATTTTCTCATCTAAATATGAAAAAATATCAAAAAACTATTATAAACTTATATATAAATAAAAACCCCAACAATAATTTAAAATAATAACATTAAATTATCGCAGAAACATAGACTAATAAGAATAGAAAAATAAATAAATGTTAGTTGATTTTTTCGTCTTAAGAAGAGAATAATTTGGTAACATCGAGACCAATAACGAGGTTTTAGCCGGAGACGAGAATCATAGGCTCGTAACACAATGTCATTTGGGGTTCATCGATCACGCTTTATCTCAGGGAAAGTCTCCTCTTAACATGTTTGCCAATTTTTTCGGTTAACCAATTTTTTGTGTCTCAAATGGAATTTCAGAAATTTTATTGGGGTTAGGGTTTATACAAGTGAAAGATGGAATCATACACCAATTCTACTAAATCAAGACCAATTTTACATTGTGTCAAAATCCATAGGAATTGCAGCACAAACAAATCCTTGTGTTAAACTTTTTTAATATAGAAAAAAAAGGAGTAAAAGTGAAACATTTGGTATCATTCCTGAAAATAAGTAAAAGAGAATAATTTTGCGTCTATGCTGAAAGAATGATATCTCTTGCGAGGTTTTGGTTATTCTTTTGAGCAGTGCCTTAATAGCCTAAGCAAACCTTTGGGAGAGTATCAAGACCTTCAACTCAGGTGACTGACTTTAGTAAACTTTGTCATATGTTTGACTAAATTTTGTTATCTTTTTCCATGGAAACTTTTTGAACTAATAGTTTTGCTTGTTGGATTGTGTTGTCGTTGACTTGAACAGAGAGTGTTGGGACCTTTGCTTGTCAAAGGTTTTCCTAAAAGGCGAGTTGAGATTAG